CGATGCTGGAACCAAAGCTGGGCAATTTCTTCTGAACTTCTCTTTGGTTTTTTTTTGGTTTTTTGGGACAGTACAGCATTTTTGCACTTTTTGCTCTAAAAAGATTGGCATTTTTTTTGGGATAGTACAGCACTTTGGACCACCCCCACCCCCACCCCCACCCTCGCCCCCAACCCCGTTTATAAACACATGCTTATAAACACCCAGCCTGTTCATAAACACCCGTGGTTGTAACACAGGACGTGTTTACAACGCTTGGCTTCTTAGTGCGTCACACGCACAGACACACACACACACACACACAGACAGATTGGCTATATAGAAAGGCCTGCCATGAGGACCACGAAACCTAAAAAGAAACATAACCATGGCAGGCCCTTCTGTAAAATTAAATGATGTGCCGAAAATTCCTGTGTATGAAAATATTGAGGTTGAGGACGCATGGAACATTGAAAACACATGTACTGAAACTCTTAAACAAAAGCCAGTACTGATTAGAGGCTAACATCCAGGAAAAGGAAAAAGTTTAGTCGGTGAAGTTTTTATTAGCATGGATAAGAATGTCTTCTTTGTAGTGCCAAATAATCGACGATTACAAGAAAGATTCAACGATGGTGCCCGTGCCACTACTAGAATAAGTATTTCCGTCTTGTTTCCTAGGTCCTCGGTGATGTTACATGCCACTCGTCCTAGGGTCTGGGGTCTTGTAAGCTGTGCTTAATGGGAGATACTCGTGTATTTAACTCTTATTGGGTAATGCTGCAGGTCAGTCACTCTTCCTAGGGTCTGGGGCCTTATAAGCTTTGAAAATGTGTTGAGTTTACTCAGTTCCATTGAACTCATGGGTTGTTTTTATGTCAGACTGATACAGAGGGACCATGTTAAAGAACGATTGCTACCTTATTACCATTGGAATGTATCGGTATTTGCGGTGTTTCTTAACATAAAATGTGGAGAAGAGACAGCGAAAGAAAGAGACAGATCCAGGTGTGGATCCTGGGGCGAGGGGGGGGGGGGCGGGGGGGGGGGGGGGGGGGGGGGCGGCGACCTTGAATCTGCAAATCAATACTTCGAGCATCCATCCATTCACTCTCCAAACTCCCAGCCTCCAGATTCCAGACTTCGAGAACTTCTAGGTTTTTTTTAATTTTTTCGGGCCCACAATTTGAGTGGTATCATATGTCCAAGTAGACCTGCTTCTACCACATGGCCAGAGGCCAGACGTTTCATAGTGGGATACAGAAAATCATAGTAAAACGTAGGGTTTGGGGGGGGGGGGGTAGCGCATATATATATATATACATATATATATATATATTTCTATACGTTATATATATATATATTTTTTTTTTTCCGTTTATTTATATCCTGCCTCGAGCACCTCTTGCAACTAAAGCAGCACTGTCATTGCAGGCGCAGTACGAGCTCCACTTGATCAGAACCATCGAAGGCCAATGCGAGTCATTTTAGGGGGGGATTCAGAGTCTCAGAGTTTGGGATTGGGAGTCGCCCGTTGAAGCTCAACACTAAACTTGAAGACCCCAAACACAAAACCTCAACCGTAAATCTTAACCTCCATCCCCGAATGTCGCTCATGTTCTTTAGCCCTGAAGTCCAATCCCAAAACGCAGAAGGTCAAGCCTATCTTACTTCAGCCCCAAAGTTGGGCGTAAATCCGAAGCCCTGCGGCGCAAACTCAGATCTGAAAGCGCAACAGCGCTTGCTCGTGCAGCTGTTGTCTGTCGGGCGCTTAGTGGTGGGCTGGACTGGTCTCTAAACCAATGTTAAGCCGGTTAGTAGCTCAAGGCCTTGTGCGTTCAATCTTGAGCGTCGGAGTCGCCTATGTCTTGGAGGGTTGAGATCTTTACCTTTGTCGGTGAATTTGGCTTGGCTGTACGCCGGACTAGTACGGTGGATGATTGGCTCTTGCGCTGGAAGGTTTTTGCTCCCAGTGTTGAAGCGAGACCAAGCGACGCAAACCGGCACATGCGCCGGCACGCACACGCGCCCGCGCCCGCGCGCGCGAAAAGCGCGTTCGAAAAGCGCGTGCGAAACGCGCGTGCGAAACGCGCGCACGTGCGTGCGAAACCGATACCAAATCCCACAACCCCTAAACTCTAAACCGAGCAACTTTCGGGTCCAGGGATTAGCAGTTCGTCAACAAATTCACGGCTGCTCAGGTCAGTGAGTTGGATGAAGCATCACTTCCAAGTTCAGCTGCCATCGACCGCGCCGAAAAGTGAGTGCTTTGGAACCCACAGGCCTCCTTCCTGATGATCCCCAGCAGCGTCCTTAGCCGCATCAATTCATAGCGAAAGTTCCCCCGGTTAGCAATTGACTTGGCAGTCACGTCGTCTTTCCAACAAGCAACATCTGCCAGTGCTGGCACTGAAACGCTGTTTAGCGCCGATGCTTGGAGGATGGGCAACACATGACTTGGATAACGTTCGATTTAAAGCGAACTCCAGGCTGCCATCCGTGGAACAACGAGTTGCGCAAGAGGGATTCATTTCGGGTCCGGGGGCCATCGAAGCACCTTTGGATCTTTGTGCCGTGAAAATCGCTGGCCAGGTCTCTTGTCCAAGGAGATTGCTGGCTGATATCGTTGGCTACCGCCGTCGGGGCCGGTGAACGATCGAATTTTCAGTTATCTTGTGATGATGGTTGTTCTTGCGCTCTGGGTCCTTTTTGCCCGACGTAATTGGGGATTCAAGTCTAATTTGAATCTAAGTTAGATCCAAGCACCTTGTCTGACTCGCAAGGCCTTTCAAACGCAAGACGTCGCCCCATAAAAAAACTTCAGATTTGTTGCGAAAGCGGCGCCGTGAAAATGTTTACGCACGCTGCTCCATTCAAGAGTTCTCCGGAGCGTGAGGCATTTAGGACACTTCAAACAAAACGTATGGATCACCCTCGCGACTTGGAAGCGCATTCCTTGTAAACGTATTCTGGCTGGAAATTTCGATTTGAATATGGATATGACATTCAATCATTGCTAGATATTCTGTGAGTATCTGATGCATTTAATTGATGAAGGAACGAATGATACAAGGGCGTTGTTATTTATTTGATTTATTTCGTCTTCCTTTAATTGGGGGGGGGGGGGGGTGGTGGTGGGTGTATTATCAATTTGAGACTGGTGTATTTTGGGACTTCTCTATTTCAATTATAGAACTTCGTTTTTTCTTGGAGGACATTTTGTTTCATTGCGTTCATTCATTATTCATATACTCATTATGTTCATATTCTAGGCTGAAGGATGAGTCCAAAGGAGTTGGCTACATATTAGGAGGCCTCCGATAATTGGAGCGGGATGGAGGATTCCGAACCCCGGATAAGTTGCAGGATTGAGATGGGGTTTCGTTTCTTGGAATTGGGTGTGTTTCATGTTTCTGTTGTATTGGGAATTGAACACTCGCCTGGAATACGCCCGTTCTGGATGCGCTGTGGAACGTATATGCGCGGTTAGACATGGAGCTTCAAAATGTGGGCGATGCTACCGTCTCAACATGTCCACTTCCCCATGCTGGCTGCTAGCCAGAAGGAGGGACTGCGTGCTACAGCTTTTAAAGGCCTTGGGCCGTGACCTTGACAAGGCTGCTCATTCCAGTGTGCGAGTTTTTGCCTGCAAGCAGCGCGGAGCGCAAGGCGCAGTGCGCTTGCAAGGCAGCCGGCGTGCCAGGGTACAAACTTGACTCGTTTTTGGCCCCTTTGGCAAGCTCAGACAAAACACCGAAGTAATTATGGATGAGGGTAACGGTGACAGCTCTATGTTTGAATTGCTTGGCCCGCGCGCGCATTTTATGCAAGGTGCTGCTTCTAGAAGACGGTTGCGTTCCGATGACCAAAGCGTTTCCGGCATGGAGCTTCGCCTTTCTCAAGTCTTTTTTTTAGCGGGCATCTCGCAACAACATCAAAGTGCACACAAGCCCTGAATCTGAGTGGTGTAAAGAACGTCAAGGAATATTTGTGCATAGGCTTGCAGCTTAGACATGTCCTGCAGATAGGCTCATTGCTGTGCCTAAAGGATGTGCCCGTGCAGGCTGCGGTTGCTTCCTCCTCACCTGCATGTGACGCAGGGTGCAGACAAAAAAATTTGGTGTATCGTAGGACTATTGGTGGGGGGTCGTTTGTTGTTTAAACCACCTCCAAGTTTTTCCTGCCCCCCCGTCCACTGTTTTTGACCCCTCCTGATTCCGGGGCCCCCCACGGCCTCCTCCATTTTTTCTCGCCCTCTCTCCATGTTGACCTTTCCCCTTCTCCATTCTTCTGGCATCTTCTGGCTTTGCGTGTGCCCAACTCCTTTTCCAGGAGCCTTAGAACATGTTGTGCATGATTGGGTTAAGCATGGTTAAGCTCAAAGTCAGACGCAAGGCAAGGACCCTGATTGCGGGCTTCACTCTTCGCTTGGCCGTGCACTTGGTGCTCTGCCAGTGTTCTGCGCTCGACATGGAGCTTGTACGCGGAAAACTCAATCAGGGATTATCAGGGAATTTTTCCGAAGATCGGGGAGCCTTTAGCCCACGAGCGGAGGCAAAGATGACGGGGCCACTTCACGACCCTTCATGCGCTCACATACAGAAGAGCTTTGAGGGCCAAGTTTCAAGAAGGCGCAAGAGCGATGATGCCTAGGAGCCAAGCTGAAACCTTTTGCAGCTCTGTTGCGTTGATCTGGTCAAGTCTGGTCATCTGGTTGCTGTCCTCTGCTTTCATTGCATTGCCATACCACGCGGCTGCCGCCAGAGCCCACATGCTGCCCTCGTGGGGCTCGACCTTGTGATAGCGACGAGCATCGAAGCTCACGGGGTTGTCGGAAGCCTTGTTCGCTCATGCCTACGTAAAGTCGCGTGCTGTCGTGAAGCCCTGAGCTCCGACATGCTTTGACATTTTCGGAAGCTTCAGGCCACCTCACATGTCATCACTATGGAAACTCTTGCTTCGTAGTTAGACTCCTTGAATCATTGCGGTATGTGAGCAGTGTCCGCCAGGAAAAGATTGCCATGGCAAAAGCCGCCAAAGCGACGGCTGCGAACCGAGCATAGAAGAAGGTGAAGAAAGCCAAGTTATGGTAAACCCCAGAAGCATGCCAGGCTGCCTGCGTCATCCAAACCCTACACCCGGCCAAAAAAATCCTCCACCTGAGGGTGAAGAGTGGCCAGCTCTGTGTGCGTCAGCGCCCAGCTCCAGCACAAAAGGATGGGAAAGAGAAGTCAGGAAGGACATGAAGTGGGCTGAAGCAGGGTGCAATGCCTCTGACCCTGAACATGGATTCCTTCGCTGACTTTCGCTTAGATACTCCAAGTCAGCTTAAGTGAGTGAGTTCGTGCAGATCGCAGAGCTGCAGGACAAAGAGCTTTTGAGGAGATGCGGGCTTTCGGTGCATGAAGTCGCGTCAGACGGGGCGTGCTCCTTTAGAGCGTCTCTCGGAATAGCTAGACCGAGAGCGCTCCACCATGTGTTTTGTGCATAGTTCGGTTGCCAGGGTTCGGTGAGAAAGCTTCGTTTTTCGTTTTTGCAGCACGAAGCTTTGAAGCTAAAAAACCCGAAAGCCCAAGTGATGTAGTTCTCAACAGAGTAGCTGTTAGGACGTCTGCGGCCAGTGGTCTCGCAAACCTGGCCGTCCTTCCATACTTCGACCGAATCCAGAGGGCCGTTAATCCGAGCTGAGGTTTGCCCACCAATTGCTGGGGGATGAGCTGGGTCACGTAGCCTGGTCTGACGTTGGTACTGGCAAACTGGACAATGATGTTTCGTATGTCGCGTTTTTTGGACTCATTGCGGTTGGGTGAAGGCACTTCGCGTTTCCAGGTGAAGATGCGAGAACGCTGTGTAGACTTCATGCTGGCGCACAGAGATGAGTTTGAGCCGTTCATTGCCGTGGCTTGGTGGCAGTGGCTTCTTTTTTGGAGCGCCCGGTGGCTAGGATTCGGACTTTTCAGACCGGCAGCTCCGAAGCGGAGCTGAGTGATCACAGATGAAGACTCGAATGTTTACGATGTAAAGTCTGCTACTTCCATGTCTGCATTGTGCGACTACCGCGGGGAAGCCTTACAAGTCGCGTAGAAGACCTACAAGAAGCGCATCGTACGGTGGGCTAAAAGCTGCCGGGGCGGGGGGGCGAGCAGACACGCAAGGAGCACCAGGTTTGATACTTTTCCTGCTCAGCCTAGGAAGAGTTCCATGGCTATTGCAGCAGCTCCAATGCAAGCGATGGCAGGTTTGCGGTCTGACAGGTGATGGAAGGACTCGATACCTTCACAGTGGAACAGCAATGTAGAGGCACCGACTCTGCTTTGCAGTAGCGCGGGGTCCAGTATTTCTTGTGGTTACTTCTTCTTACACTCAGTTGCTATTCCAAGAGCCATGTTGAGCAGGTTCAGGCACTGGCCAGACTGAACGGAGTCAATGCCGCACCTTGCCATGCATTGGACTGCTTGCCAGCATAGGTGGTGTGGGTGGTACAGTAAGCCTTGAGCCCTCATCCTACACTCTCGAGCATCTTAAAACCGTGGCCTGTGATTTGTCTCCTCTTTTTGGGATTTTGGGAAGGATCATATGTAGGGATATTGTTCAGCAGGTTTCTAGGGCCAACCAGCTAAAGCTCTGAACGACTCCGAACCTGGAGATCGGCCAGGATCGGTGCAGCAAGCAATCTGAGGCGACTTGCGGCGTTCCAGGGTTTTCGGGTGTATTGCTTGGTCCTGCATTGCGGCTAGAGTCGAGTTCTCGTTGAGGGTTCCTCGCTTGTATCCTTGACAGCTTTGGGCCTTCGGGTTTGAGGGTGCTTGGATTGAGGGTTGAGGGGCTTGCTTTGTCATGTTGTTGCTTTATACCCCCAGGGGCCGACTTAAACCCTGATCCTAAAACCTTGACCACTAAACCGCATAGTGTTCTCCCTGAACCCTAAACCTTACTCCCGAATCCAAAAAAACCTCAACCCTGGTGTACTCGCTCGATGAACCCTAATCCCGGGCTAAGACCTTTCTGTAGCCCGATGCGCTCCCAAAGATCTTTGAGAAACCCTGAACCCTAAACCCTAAGCCATAAACGCTGAGCCGCATGGGATCCCAAATACCTTCAGGAACCTCCACTCCCACCGCCCGTGCAGATCCTCGTGACCTGGCGGTATTTGCCGGCTTGGCCGTTTCAGGGCTTTAGAGTTTAGCGATCTGAGGCTTCAGGGGTTTAGGGGTCAATGGTGTGATCTTGTTGGGTCTATAGGGTTTGCGGTTCTGAGTTTAGGGTTCGCATGCAAAGGGGGGGAAAATTTCCCAATCGTCGAGGCAATGCCCCTTGTTTGAATGGTTTCGGGGTTGGAGTGGTGCAGAGCTAAAGGTTCGATGGCCTTGTTGTGCTCTACCCACAGGGCTTCTTCCATCGGGGCAGAGGCCTCGGTTCAACCTCGCCCCTGGCGTACCCAGACTTTCGGGTTCGACGTGTAAATTGAGGGCTGGGCATTCTCAAAGCAGCCATAGACCCGAGACCCTAAAGCGCTAAAGGCCCTGGATTTAGGCTGGTCGACAGAAACAGCAGCCCCGAACTGCGGGTTCAGGGTGCACGATTGTCCTGTCCAGACTTGAACAGATAAAGTAGTAAGCCTAAAGAAGCCTTGATCAGCCGAGGACAGCTCCTTGCGCGCGGAGGCACCATTCTTGTGAGGTTGAGGCTCAAGGGATTGAGGGTGTATGTTTGTAACGAAACAAATTAAGCAAACAGTAACCCAGGGTTTGAGGATAGAGGTTTGAAATTCTCTCCCCCGCCCCCCCTTTCGGCCACCCCTTTTTTTGCCACCCCCACGCACCCACGCTGCTAACCCCACGACCCGGTAGCTAAACCCTAAACCCAAAACCCACATGCAAATCCAAAGCTCTCTGACTTGCAGGGTCCGGACTTTACTATTGAAGGTAGTTAGAAGCAGGGATTTTCAGAATCCCGAAAGAAAAGATGATACTTGGTTGGAATTACGGCCACCCCACTGAGAATCCCTTTGCGAGAACTACACCCTAAACCCCAGACCCTACGCCCCAAGGGGTGTCGAGTGTAGGGATGCAAGGCGCCGGCATTTGTGCCAACTCCGCTCGAGGCGCGTCATGGAGGGCTTGGCGCTACGGCTTAGGGTTGGGAAGGGGTAAAGGTTCAGGGTTTGTAGGGTCTGCTTAGAAACAACATTTTAAGGCATTGGGCATCCCAGGTACGAGGCGAATCTAGGTTGCCTGTGACCGCCTGGACGTTTCGAACGAGCAGGTCCAAGTGCATCAGAAAACCCTACGCCCCGAGTTCGGGGTAACCGTGTAGCAACCGTGTACTACAGGGCTGGGCTGAACCATTTGCGAAAATCAGGTTTGCCTTGACGTATTCCAACTGCACCTAAACCCTCTCTATCAGATGCATATTCAAACCCTATAGACTTTGCGGTCCCTCCCGGCACTAACCCTATGGACCTTTTGGTCCCTCAAGGACCAACCCTACGAACTTTTTGGTCCCTCAGAGACCAACCCTATGTGGTTTTTTTGGTCCCTCCCGAAAGGGCGAAAGCCAATGCTATGGACTTTTGGTCCCTGAAGAACTGCCATGGACGTTGGTCCCTCCGGGCCGTCTGGGATCAATGCGATTAACCATCTGGTCCCTCCGACCGACCCGCAAACCGCGTAACGTGGCGGATGACACTCTTTTGCTCTTGAGCCACCAATGCTATAAAAGAGTTTCGAAGAAACGCGAAACCGTGCTTAATATCGAACTCAAGACGAACCGCAACCCCGCAACAAGGTGGCACTCTTTTGTTCTTGCGCCACAGAGTTCACATCCCCGTAACAAAGTGGCGGGTGGCTTTTGTGTTGAAGCCATAGTGAGCAACTGAAGCGTACAGTGTTGATGAACACCCTCTATTTTCTTGAAGTTATGGATGGGATTCTTTGGGCGGGTGGGTTTTGTCTAAGTCTACGCTCCGCATTCCCAACTGGAACTGCTCGATCCGGAGCTGCTGTTGAAGCCTAAGCCCTATTCCCCAAACCCTCGATGCAGTCCCAAAATCGGCTGGAAAGACCCGAGCGTGAACTTGAAAAGGCTTAGCCTGCGAATGGTTCTAGCGAAGCCATCATTGGACCAAGAAGCTCTTGGTTCAAGACGTGAGGGTTGTGTGATTCAATCCCTACGCCTCCATGTTCCACACTCTTTTGTAGGGGCCTCCTGAGTAGAGTCAAACTGGCTATTCAGGACATCGCTGAGCCAGCTTCGACTGTTCTGGGCAGGGAGGGGGGTCCACACTAAAGAGGGTGCAACATTAACCCCTTTTCGTTCGGCGGTCGCTGTCCATCTTGCTGCTGGACAGATCTTTTAACCCCTGAACCCTAAACTTGAAACCTAAACCCTGAGCCCTAAGCCCGAGGCCCCAAACCCTAAACCTTAAACCCTAAACCCTAAACCCTAACCCCCAAACCCTAAACCGTGAACCGCTTCGCTGTCCGGGTTTGGGCTTCGGGATCCCCTGAAGAAAGCTTCAGGCTCAATAGGGTTTAAGGCCAGAGTCCTACACAGATGTGGAGGATGCAATTCATGGCATCTGCACTAAAAAAAAGAAATGAGTTAGGCCAGCCCACCATGTCCGGCGCAGGAATTGGTTCTTCCCATGTCAGACCTGCTGCCGTTGCCTCAGCCGCCATCTCAGCCCGGCCCGATCCTTCAAGGTCTAAACCCTCAACCCTATACCCGAAACCCCAACCCAAACTTAGAACTTCTCCTTCCCCCACTCCACCCCGCCCTCCCCCCTCCCCCCAACTCCCCAGCTTGGCTCATGTCGAATCTGGGCCCTCCCCCCCCCCCCCCCCCCCCCACACCCGCCAGGTTTTAGGGCTTATTGTTTCAAGCCTCCCAAAACCCTCACCCGGAAATCCTAAAAACCACTTCCCCCCCGAAATATCCCCCAAAACCCTTAACCCCTCAACCCTGTACATGCAGCCCAGGCCCATCGTTGTGGTGGTGCCACTGGTGTTCGAGGCACCAAACTTGGACGACTTCTCTCGAGGAACATCTTCGGGTTGAGATTTCTCTAAAAAAGGATGTTGTGTTTTTTTGTGGATTGTGGTGGTTTTGGGGGGGATTTGGGGGTGAACTCTAAACTCATGAGGAGCCTGGAGGGTGTAACCAGGAGGGTGCCATGTTTCGAAACAAGCCCTCAGGAGGAAGCCCAAATAAGCCCTTATGAATCTGGCCACTTGCACACCCCCTCCCCTGCACCCCCCCTGGCTCACAATGGTCCTCAACTAGACGGCCCACGGCCCTAGGCTGAGCTCTAGATAAAATTGTTTAACTGCCATTACAGCGCCCCTCCACATCCTCAAGGCCAGGGAGCCCTCGTCCTAGAGTTAGGCCCAGTCTTCTAGGGTTTGGGGTTTGGGCTCTCGCATTTATCCAGTGAGTAGACCTTACGTTTCAGGCTTATAACTTATAAAGTCAAAACCGTGGTGAAGGCAACTTAACCTTGGGAGGACATGTGCGAAGGTCCGAAAACCCTGCAAAGCCACGAGGATGACCGACAAGTGACGCCCCCCTATTGCGCGACCTAGCGAAGTCATCAAAGGAGACCTTCCGACTGATCCAGGCTGTCTCTGTTCCTTCGTCCCTCGCATCAGAACACATATGCGTGAGCCCCACCGCGGCCATGTGCAGCTCCCAGCTTCACAGCCTTCACACAGGCCGAAACCCCCCCAAAACACATCCAAAGACGTTAAGACTAGGAGATTCACGGATCGTATGGGCCAGGGGGCCTAGGCCCGACAAAGAGGGTTTTGACGGTCGCTCATTTTTTCCCTGATCTGCAGGCTCGCTGGAACAACACCTACTACGACAGCAATGACGGCTACGGCAGCTATGTCGACTACAGCAACTATGGCGGCTACAGCTACGGTGAGTACTGCGACTATGCCAGCTACAACTACGGCGGCTACGGCGGCTACGGCGGCTGCGGTTACTACAGCACGACAACTTCTACTGAATTCCCAGGCAGCGGAATGTTCAGGGTTTGAACCTCTAACCCCACCCCCAACCCTGTAAAAGATCCCCTGATTCTCTAAAACCCTAAGCCCTGACGATTGTATTCTGGCCAGTTGCCAATAACGAAGCCGCATTGTTTCTTTCCATCCACATTCTGGGATACGTAGTTCAGGATCCATAACAGAAGACAGCCAAGGCCTTTGCACTTGAACGTTCTTCATGGGGGTTTGGAATCTAGGTACGTACCTTAAAGGCCCCTCTACGGATTCCTTTTTGGGACTATGCGACACCGAATTCTTTCTCAGGAACCTGTAAGTCTCAGTAAGTCCCTAAACCCCAAGTTAAAACCCCTAAACCCCCCAACCCTGAACCGTGAAGGGTTGAGTTCGTATGAGCTTGGGCGGGTTCAGAGGTAAGTTCCCCAAGCTCTTGGCGGTGTGGTAGGGTTTAAGGTCTAGGTTTTAGGGTTTATTGCTTATGGCCTAGGAACCAGGGTTCAAGGAGATTCAAGGTTCAAGATTCAACGTTCAAGGTTCAGGCCCATTTAGGCTAAGCCTTCACAAGCGCAGCAGGCCATGCCATCTGCAGCGTACAGAGCGTTGGGGCCTTGGCACAGGGCCATTTAGACTATGTTGGGTCTAGGCATGTGGGTTTGGAGTCAAGCCCAAGAGCAGACACACATTGATGCCTAAATGCCTTCAGTCCTGCCCCAAATCCCCAACGCCTGAACCCAAACTGTGCACTTGTTTGTGTTTTTGAAGCTTGTGGCGGGGTTCAAACATCGTGTGCAAGTTTCCTTTAGTTTACGGCCTGGGTTCTTGAAGCCACTCCCCTTCTGTAAGTCTGACTTCGAGTTAGCTTTCGGGACTAGCGTCTAAAACCTTAAATCATGAGGTCCCAAAACATTTCTTGGCTGCTGGTAGGTAGAGGTGAGAGAGAGTATGCTCGATTTCAAGCCCAAAGGTTATGCCTTTGCAGAAAAGGGCGTTTTGTCACTGACAAGGACCAGGAGTAATGGTCTTTAGGCGTTGGCAAGGGGCAAGCCAATCTCACATTTGTATCAGCCCCATCCATAGTTCAGTCAAGCCATGTTTGTTTCTCAACAGATCCCTTCATCTGTGGTGGTTTCAGCGGGGTGGGGGAGGGGCTGCGCCCGACCCCCCCCCCCCCAGCTCATGGCCCTCAACACTGTTTCCCCCTGTTTCTTCATGTCCTTTTTCGTCCGCTCCCAAATTCATTGGGGCCCCCTGGTCATAGATCGCGTGCCCCCAAAACCCCAAACCCAGGCTGGGCAGGGCCCACAAAGACCTCGAGAGCACCCACAAGGACCTCGGGGGTGGGGTTGGTTGCGGGTCTACATGTGGGTGTTGTGGGGTTTAGGCCCGTCTGGTTATAGTTATAAGTCAAGAGTTATCTTGGGTTAAGGGCTCTGGTGGCTTGACAGTGTAGAGAATGTAGACAGCGAAGGAGAAGTATGTGAGAAATCTTGACCTCCAGAATGAGAAACAGGTGGCAGTGTAGAGGAAAGATGTAGTGACTAAAATGTTAAAAAATGAAGGAAGGTAAGCAAGCCCCAACGCAGGAGACCCCGAAACCCCCCCCCCCCCTCGTTCTACCAATTTTTTGGGGGTAGCAGTGCATCATGATCATGACATGGTGACATTTTTTGTGTTTAGAGTTAACGGTTAGGGCCGGTTAGGGTTAGGGTTCAAATTATAATCATGCTGATGATGGTGATGGCAGGAACCGTGGGGAAACTCGCTGGGGGTTCGTGTTTAGATACCCTGAGCCCGGTTTAAGCTTTGGGGTTTAGCCCCTGAACCGTAAACCCTAAACCCTAAACCTTGGGTTTACAATTTTTTATTGAGGGTTCAGGGTTTAGCCCTCAACCGGGTCTCAACCGCCTGAGTCTTATGCCCTGCCAAACCCTAAACCCTAAGCCTTTCAAAGTAGTACAATAGGAACCGCATGGCGGTAAACCACCCCCAATCCCTAAACCCTGAACCCTAACCCCTAAACCCTGAACCCTAAACCCTAAACTACATCCAACCCCCGCAGGAGGCCCAACAGCTTTGTCTTTGGCCCTTCCGCCACGGTGGAGGTGATCAACAGCACCCCTAGATTCTAAGGCCTCGGCCCTAAACCTAGCCTTGTGCAACAGCTACAGCCAGAAGTCAGAGTCCACGCATTGGAAGCTACATGCGCGTGCGCGGCTTTGAAAAGCGCCTGCGTGCTCCGGTCACTTTCTTGGGGGCGGGGGCTGGGACAATGGGAGTATTTTATGTGCCTGACTCAGGTTTAGGATTTAGGGTTGGGCTTTTGCTGGTTCAGCAACCGTTTCCCTGGTTCTGAAGACTGTGCTTCCATCAGGCCATCCCATTTAGGGTTTAGGGTTTAGAGTTAGTTGTTGGATACTTATATCTAGATTCGCAAAGTCATATAGGATTGGGGTTGATTTTTTGCAGGTGTGATAACATACAGAATGATGTGAATTCAAGTTTCGTAAGAGGCAGACGTCATATGAATTGGGATTCATCATTGGAAACTATTTAGGGTTCATAATTTTCAGATTCTGTCAGAGGCAGAAATTATGTGAAGTAGAATCCATTGTTTGTGAGATATTTTCTTAGCTACGAATCATATGAATTAGGTATTGGGTGCCATATCCCTTTATTATCCCTACGTTCGATACAGACAGGCTTGCCTCACCCGACATACCTTTTTCTTTGGGAGTTGCGGTACTGCGGTACAACGGTACAGCAGGGCCATGCAGATTTTAGTATCAACAGGTATGCGCCGCAGCTTTTCGGCCCCCAAACCTTGCAGCTAACTACCAACATGGCCTCAGTTACCATTTCATGTTGCATTCTCTTAACAATTGTTCTCCATTAGCATTGTCTCGACACTCCCTTTACATCAAGAGGGCCCGTGCGGCCCGACTTGCAATAGGCCACATGGAGCCACTTCCACGCCTAGCGCACATGTGACGCTTCGCTGGCTGTTTTAGATGTTTGGGATTTGGGAGTTAGGACTTAGGATTTGAGACTTCCTCATCAGGGCTCCGGGTTTAGGGTTTAGCAGGTAGGTTTTGGGGTGTAGAGTTCAGGGTAGTTGCGGTCAAATGAAGTGTCCCTTTTTGTCTCAATCTCACGGCTGGTGATATCGGCTACACACGTGCACATGCGCGTAAAACGCACATGAGAAGCTCTCCTTCTTCTGTTCGGAGCGCGACGCGTCGCGCCAGTTTCCAGAGAGGATGCCGGAGATCGCTCCGAGGCACCCGAAGGCAAATTCCCAAAAGAGAAGTGTCCCACCCTCCACATCTTGAGCCCATCGAGCCCGTAGCAGATGCACGGCCGAGGCTGGCAGCAGGGCTCTAAAAGCGGAAAAGAAGCAGCTTTGTAGATGGGCCCCGGGATGGGTAGACTCCTTTTAAATATTGATCCCATAGCACGGTGAAATTCTTCCATTATGGAGACCTCATGAAAGACGCAGGCATGGTAGGGGAGGTCGAGGAGTTGCAACGCCATCCGCTCGAGGGTCGGGTGGTGGTGTCTCGGGAGTTGTTTTGCCGTACCAAACATTATTTTGTCAGATTCTTTCAGACTGGTTCGGGGGAGGGGGGGGGGGGGCTGGGGAAGCCAGAATGGGCCCTGCAGGGGAATCGGTTCGATGCCGTGATACGTTCCCCCTTTGTTAGTCGCAACTTGGGGGTGGCGCAGGATAGTCAGGGCCAAGGGATCCTCTCTCTTCAGTCTTGCTTTCGCGCAGAATTGTCGAAGCAACTTCGGCATTTTGCAAGGCTCTTGAGGCGCTCCTAGACTTCCGTGCCTACACTAACGGTTCGGCTCGGTCACCGTAGCATCAGCACGCATCACAGAGCAGAGTTGCCGGCAGCTTCAGGGAAGTCAGGAACTCGCGCAGGGAGCACGTGTAGAGGCAGTGTAGAGTTCGCCCGACGGCATGAAAGCGCCTGCGCTTCCAAGCAGGCTTTTCTTTTCGTACCAGCTTTGCGCCTACTTCTCTCAAGTGGTAGGGCATGACGTGGCCAGGCACCTGACGACTTGCAGCTGCATCCCCACAACGGCTTTCTGCGACTCTCCGAGGCACGTTGCGCCTGAGAATGGACCGAAAAGTTCGGGGTTCTCAAGGACTTTCAGCTTTCAGATGAGAGGGGAAAGCATCGTGTGATTCGTGAGACAAGTTTTCGGTGAGAGCAGTTTTGGGCTGATGGGAAAGGGGTCCCTGTTCGCACAAGTGTCCATCGCTTCGAGCTGCCGGGAGCGTGTCTTGCAGCGGGAATCTGAGGCCTTTCGAGGCATCGGTGGAGTGCGCTGATGGCTGGGAGCGGAATCCTGAGGCCAGAGTCTCAGAAAGGAGCCTTGGGGACGAAGTTATTGAGTGTCCAGGGACCAGTGCAAGCCTTGTTTTGCATCCCAATGGGAGATACGCTGACAGCATACCGTGCGTTTGGAGTACACCAGTTCTGGAAGGCTTCTCTGAGATAGTATATGGGGACGCAAGGCGCTTTTCTCGGGCCCGGGAAAGGGCATGCTCACTTAATTAGCACTAGGGGCTATGTTGCCTCCTTGTGCATTTCCCGGGGGCCGGGAAACCCACCCTGCAGCCTCGATGCCCTAGGGACTGTCCTGTGTGTTTGTGCAAATTTGGCGCCAGGGGGAAAACGCACCCTCATTTGGAATGTTTGTTCGGTTCGGTTTTCTTTCCTGTTCGGCTCGTGGGGTTCCACCCGTTCGGTTCCGTTGCAGTTCGGTTCAGTTCAATTTCGGCTCCACGCCGTCCCTGCAGTACAGGATAGCATACTACAATATACTACGGTGTACAAAAGAACCTTAAACCCTAAACCTGATACCCTAAAACCCCAAATCCTAATCCCCTCAAAAAAATGTTGCTGGTCTACTGTCTTGTATATGGTGTGCTGTGTTAAAATGCTGAGAACATGGTGGCTGCCATGGCTTCTTGGGCTCGCCTACCCAGCCACCTGGCCCAGACATCTTGTTCTGTTCGGGACTAGGGTTTCGGGGTTCAGGGGTTTGGGTGTATTTCACCAGAGTCTACGAAGGTATGCTTTATAATATACTGCATACTTGACTAGACTTTTGTAAAGAAAACAAAAGCCCACCGTTCTGTGGGGGACCCCTTTAGGGTGTGCGTCTATGTGTGTGTGTGTGTGTGTGTGTGCGTACCCCAACGGCATTTTAAAATATACATATATATATATATTTATATTTATTTTTTTTATTTATATTTATATCGATACGTATTCGTATATATGTCAGTGAGCCCCTAAATCCCGGAGGGAGCGGAGAAACACTAAACCCTCAACATAACCTTAAACCCTAAACCCCAAACCCACCCACCATGAACCACGGGGGGCAGAGTGACAATCCTGGACCCTAAAGTCCCTAAAGCCTTACCCTAAACTCTAAACCTTAAACAGCTTCAAGCCGCCGCGCGCAAAAAATGCCATGAACCACCATGAGCCACAGGGGAAGGGATGGCATGGAAGGGGGGGGGGGGGCGAATGCTGGTGCACTGGCGCACATAAGGGGCAGCGGAAGGAATCAAAACAAGCTCCAATTCTCCAAGTTTAATACCCTTCCTCCGGTCAAAATCAGACTAAGGTCCTTTTGGGTACAGGGGTACCTTCGATTCAAGGCGAACACAATAGGATTTAGGGTTGAGGGAAAAGGTGTGGGGCCATGTTGGATCAGAGCGTATGCGCTTCAGTTTAGCATCGTGGAGTTACGGGTTTGTGTCATTATTTCTTGATTTTTAACAGTATAGTCTACTGGAATTATATAGGGACGATAAGGGACATACCATTTGTAGTTCTTGAGGCTTCCGCATTTTAGCAGCCACTCCCGCCACCATGATTGTGGCATTTTGCTCTCACGCTGAAACGTGACCTCCTTGAGACCGAGGCTCGTTAGCTGCCAGATCAAGGTCCTGTCGCCCAAATGGCTGGCTTCCAAATTCACCGATGGCAGACTTCTTGGTACCACTGCAATGTTCGGGGCCCCGTACTACGGCGACACTGCAACCTTGCTTGTTTCATACCCGTTTTTTGTTTGGGGGGCGCCGAAGCTTCTGGTCTAGCACGTTGTGCTGGACATGTCAGACTAACCAGCGACGATACTGTCCTGAACTAGAACGGTATTTTTCGAGCTCTACAGCATAGCCTGATAAATTGTATTGCCGAAAATCTTCAAAGCCCAAACACATCGTGCACGGTTGAAGGCTGCAGTAGTCTACAGTACACAACAGTATAGAATCGCATATGACAGTATTCTATTGTTGATGAGAGTATGCCATAAAAAGCGGCAGTCCCGAAGGTAAAACTCGTCGTGGGCAGGCTTGTCTACGGCAAGTCCCTCACAGGTGCTGCCCACTGCACCATGGAGGACTACATCATCCCGGTGCCTTGGTCATGGGAAGCTGGGAAGCTGGAGGCTCATTACTTTCGGACTCATGGGTGTTCTTGGGTTCAGAGGGTCCAAGGGGGGGCTTCCCGTGAGGTAGTGGCACGGGTGCCACTCCTAAACCCCTACACCCTCCAAATTTAAGTGCCTTGGGCTCAGACCGCAGACCCACGACGTCCGAGTTTGCTTTTTTTTGTAGCGCAAGGGGGGGGGGGGGGGGGGGGGGGGAGGATGGGCGGGTGCCCGTCAACCCTCTCCCCCCAGCCAACAACACACACCTGAGAGGCTTGCCAAGCTGCACACTTGTTGAAGAGGGCTGGGGCAGAGGGGGGCTATAGGGGGTTCACCATCGAACTTGCAATTTATCAGAGTACAAGGTATTTCAATTACATAAAAGTTGGATTACAAGCTGCGCTCATCTTGCTCATCCTCATCCGGCCCTCCCTGGCCTTCTTAACACGGTCAGGGTTTGGGGTTTCGGCATTGGCTCCAGGGACCCTCGACCCCAAACACTCATCTTGTTGCTTGTGTCGGACGTCAAAACGCTTCTGACAATAGGGAATCCCAGGTCTTGAAGTTGAGCAACACTGGATCGAAGATGTGTTCTGGGTTCAGGGTGTGGGATTTCCTTGAACCCCCTCTACAAACCCAATGTCCTGGAACCGCCCAGGATGCAAAACTGGGGGCACAGCTCCTGAACATCGTCATGGTCGAGAGAGGGAAGTGCTCGTTCACCACCAAGGTGGCTTTTCGGGGGTTTGCTGCTGTTGGGTATAATATACCGTAGTTGAATATAATGTCGTATAATTCACTGAGGCTGCAGTAGTAGATCGTATGATATGATGCACTTCTATAGACTAGAGGAGGCTAGGTTCAGACTATAGTAAGATGAAGTATACAATAGTTCATGACAGTATGCTGGTGTAGCTGGGCCTTTTCTGGGTTTGAGTTTTTCTGAGAAAAGGTTTACATCCTGCCGCGTGTCGGGTGTGGCGCAAGGTCTGCCGGCATAGCGCAGGACGGTCGTCGATGTTGAGGCTCGATGTGCGCACGAGCACTTGGCGCGTTTCACAGGGGCGCGGACGGAGATGCGTTTCATGCACAAGGGTCGTCGATGGCAATGTGTCGCACGGAGCCTAGAGGTTTGGTGCATGGAGACGAGTTTCCTTCGTGACGGTCGTCGAGCGCGACGTGGATACCGTGAGACACCTTGAGTTTGGTGCGCTTCCTCGGCGAGCGCGGTTCTCGGCAACGGGACGCGCGTTTCGCGCGCGAGCATTGTCAATCTCCAGGTTTGGTGTGTAGTATAGTATAGGGTGTGTAGTATATAGCATATTGTATGATATGAAGTAGGTAGATAGTAAAATTTCAGGACAGTAGAGTAGAGTGCAGCACCTAGTATACTATTGGTTAAAACAATCCTGACATCTTGAAGACCGGCGGCGGCGTGCCCTTCAAAGCCTACCATCGTGTTTATTTCCTTCTAACAGACACGAGTAAGACGACTCCCTAATCTCTATAACCCTAAACCCCAATCAATCCTTATATAGCCCCTAAACCTCAAACCCTAAACCCAAGCCCTATGAAGCCCCTTGTCAGGAGTTTACCTGAGCATACCCAGCCCCCAAGCCCCTAAAATCCCATGCAAACCCCCCGCAGCAAGGAGTTACCTAAGCCCCTGAACCCTTTTACGTTCTCCCCCTTTCTAGCACTACTACTGTTCCCGCCCCTAAACTCTAAAAACCCCAAGCCTATATGCGTTCTTCCCTTTAAGGGGCTGCTCGCCCCTGTTCTGCTCTGAGGTGCGGGTTGCCGAGGCAAAGGGTGCGCACGCCGTTCTCTTCGTCGATCGGAAAGAATCCAACTTGCAGGCGATGGGGGGGGACCCCTTAAACCCTTAAGCCCTTAGAGTCCTTAGAGCCCACACCCTTTTTTGAGGTTGCAAAAATGAAAGGGCTCAGTGCTGGCAGGGAAGTTAGAGAAGCGTTGCTTGGGCAAGGAATTGGAGTTGCTATAGTGGCTCAGTGACTTGGCGTACTCCATTGCCTTTTTTATTGTTTAGAAGCATGGCAATGGCCATGAGACACAGCACTTGTCGGAGCCACTTGGAAGGCTGAAGACCTCTCAAGCATCATCCTGCGCGACGACGGCAACGGCGCCGGCATCACAACCCCGTCCATCCTCATCTCGCGGAAAGATGGAGAGCAACTCCTCAACGCTGCGGAGTATCTCGAAAGACCTTGCGTAAACAACTTGTACTTTGTGAGCCGGGCCTGTTCATAACCCTGACTATTTCCTGCAGCTTTCGTGAGTATAGAACAGCCGGCAGATTGCCCCTCAGAACCGGCAAGGTACGGCGAGGTAACCCTCCAGCCGCATGGAGCCTGCCAACCGACAACGTGGTCCAGCTGGACGTGTGGATGAGTTCAGGCTCCCGGCCGAGCCTACACAGAAGGGAGGGGCTTGTGAAGTAAGAACCGGCCTCGGCCTTGATGGCTGTAAGAAGCGCATATGCCATAGAGAGTATAGCACTTTCTCGTGGTAGTATCGTATAGTATTGTAGAGTATCAGAATGTTCTATATAGTGTCTAGTTGTACTATAGTATTTTAAGGGCTTCCGTCCCTAGATGTGAGTAATGGGAGCGGGGTACAGAGGCATTTTCAGGGGATTCCGCCGGTCCCTTTAAGAGATGGTCTGAGGAGAATATTGAGAAACTCCTAGGGGCAGTGGTGTGTAGTATACTATATATATCGAGGCCGAACTAGTACGGTGTATCTTCCACCACAATTATAGCTCCTTGGCTTGGAGGCACTCTTCGAGAATCCTGATAACTTTGGCATGGCAAATCCTCTTTCGTTGACTGAAGCCCCGTACACCAGTATAGTATAGCACCTACTAAAACAGAATATAGAAGAGTATATGTTATATAGTTAAGAGTATACTATTGTGTATGTAGATTAATATAGTATACTACGTCGTATAGAAAAGTACTCATATATGTCCTCCCACTCACTGAACCATGGAGCCTTGTAACCGTACGGCTTAGGGTTTAGAAGTGTAGGGTCATGTGGGTGGTGCTCACATTCCTATATAATCCCGACAAGGATCCCTATTGCCCCCTTATAGTCAGCCACATCCCCCAGTTAGGCCGCCCTTTTTGAGAAACTCCCATCTAGAGGGCCCCTCTTAAAGGACTTGTATAGAGATTTGTTTGAGAAGCACCCCTCATGTTTCAGACGTTCAGGAACATGCAATTCATGAGCGACTTTGCCGCCAAGCGGAGGGTGCTCAATGAGGTGCCGGCAGAGCGGAGCACTTGAGCCCCACCCCCGCGTGATTTCAAGGTTCAACATGTCTGACGATCAATCTATACTATACTATACTATACGCCACATAGATGAGTATACTGAATACTAGACATCATAGAGTAGCAGACTACGCAGTTCATGATCTTCAAGCCGCACTATGCCATCTTCAGCTTGGAGACTGGCGGCAACTCCTCCCGCAGCTGCTGGGACAAGGAACATGCCTACTGTGCCGAGGAGACGCCTTGCAAGTAGTATGAACTAGTGCATAAAGAGAATTTTGTCTACAGTAAATAGGATAGACAATGTCTTGTATCAAGTATCTAGTATCTAGGATGTCCCGAAAGCATAGTGGATGTTATGCCCATACAGAAACAGGGACTATGTGTAGACAAGGAGCGTGCGTACATGTACAGAGAGACGAACTAGACTACCTTATACTCGAGTACGTTTAGTATGCAAAGGCACATGTTGCGATGCTTACCCAACAGCTGAAGTCCAGCATCTCAGTATTTGCGAGCGTTCCGCAGCTGCTGGACATCCTCTACACTCTATACTCGGTAAATGCTCTTCTTCAGTCTAGCACCACGAGCCGGCTCTCCAAGCACGCAACCCTAAACCCTAAGCCATCTTTCCGAGTCGCTCAAAATGCGGAGGAGGCAGATGGAGGGCATGTGAGCGGCAGGGAAGTCTTGGAGGAGGATGTGCGGCAATTTTTGCCTGCACGAGATGACCCAGGAGCCCATGCTTCAAAACCTCGGGGCATTGGGAAACTTGCTGAACTGGACTATATCGAGACTTCACGCACACACACGCACATGCACACACTCTATCCCGGCTCTGTACTATTAGAGTACTCTAGACTTTTGAAAGGTGTTGAGCCGTAAGAATCGTAAGACGTTTCAAATGCAGCAAACCCGCAGTGCTCCAGTCACTGACACTTAGAGGCCTGCATGGCCCTTGAGCTCTCCAGCCTTTCCCGAGCCTTTCCCCATAAACCCTGGCGTCACAAGGGCCCCAAACCCGCGCAACCAGATGTACGTGTTTGGCAGGCTCCAAGATCACAGCGCTCCCGACGATCCCAGTATGCAGTGCCTTGGATTCCATAGACAGCCGTGGTGTGAGTAGAGTATACTAGAGAGTAGAAGTACTAAGTCGTATACCAAATAGTATGTTGTAATGCAAACTGCGTAGTAAACATGCAGCGTAGTAGTCGTCGTCGTCGTAGTAGTAGTAGTAGTAGTAGTAGTAGTAGTAGTAGTAGGAGTAGTAGTAGTACAACAACAACAACAACAACAACAACAACAACAACAACAACAACAACAACAACAACAACAACAACAACTACTACTACTACTACTACTACTACTACTACTACTACTACTACTACTACTACTACTACTACTACTACTACTACTACTTCTACTGCTACTCCTACTACTACTACTACTACTATACTTACAATATACTCCTTACTACTACTACTACTACTACTACTTACTACTACTACTTACTTACTTCTTCTACTCTTATACTACTACTAGCTAAGACGCGGACGACGGACTACTCATAGACTACTACTGCTACTATGATACTACTACTACCTACTACTACTACTACTACTATACTACTACTACTACTACTACTACTACTAGTAGCAGTACTAGCAGAAGTAGCAGTAGTAGTAGTAGTAGTAGTAGTAGTAGTAGTAGTAGTAGTAGTAGTAGTAGTAGTAGTGTGAGTACTGGTGGTGGTAGTGGTAGTGGTAGTGGTCGTGGTAGTAGTAGGAGTAGTAGTAGTAGTAGTAGTAATACTAGTAGTAGTGGTAGTAGTGGTAGTAGTAGCAGTAGTAGTAGCAGTAGCAATAGCAGTGGTAGCAGTAGCAATAGCCGTGGTAGCAGTAGTAGCAGTAGTAGCAGCAGCAGCAGTAGGAGTAGTAGTAGTAGTAGTAGTAGTAGTTGTTGTTGTTGTCGTCGTAGTAGTAGTAGTAGTAGCAGTAGTAGTCGTAGTCGTAGCAGTAGTAGTAGTAGTAGTAGTAGTAGTCGTAGCAGTAGCAGTAGCAGTAGCAGTAGCAGTAGCAGTAGTAGTAGTAGTAGTAGTAGTAGTAGTAGTAGTAGTAGTAGTAGTAGTAGTAGTAGTAGTAGTAGTAGGAGTAGGAGTAGGAGTAGGAGTAGGAGTAGGAGTAGGAGTAGCAGTAGTACGTAGTAGTAGAAGCAGTAGAAGCAGTAGTAGCAGCAGCAGTAGCAGTAGCAGAATTCGCGCGTTTCATCCGGGCAGCTTAGGCGAAGTACTGGGATTACATGGAGAGATTTGCAGCAAGGTGCCTGTTGGGCACCCGGTGGAGGGACACCATGTTCGGAGACACAATGTTCGGGGAGATGTGTTCATTCGGGCTCATGCGCGAACTGGGAATCGATGCAGATTCTGTTCGCCGTTGTGCCTGGGCTGTGATCATGTTTGAACCTTTGTAAAGTATGGTACAGTATGGTCTCCGGTAGAATGGAAGCTGTGGGGTGCGGGCTCTCGAAGCTTGTGTCTTTGCCAATTCTGTAGTCCAGGTGCTTTGGCAAGGACGGAGGTGGTGTTGCGCCAGCAACTGGAGGAGCAGGCCTGGTCTCCGAGCGCCGTTCGTGTGAACGGATGGCGTTTTGCAGGCGACCCAAGCCCAGACCAGGTTTTCCGTGCAGCCTGTTCGGGCCTCGTCCATGCACCTTCACAATGCGAGACTCACGAGACCAGTGAGACCAGTGGCACCCTGTCCTTCCGTGATGTGGTCGATGCAGCTTTGACACTTGGCAACCTCACCCTTGCCATCCTGGACAAGGCAGCTGCGCTACACTCACTGCACACAAGCAAGCATGAAGTCAAGCAGAGTCGAGGTCCGAAGCCGGGCCCCCTGCGCACCCCGGATGTCCAGGACCTCGCCCCACATGTCCAGGGCCTCGCTTCTCAGCCCTCGAGCGAGCCTTCCTTGCCATCAACCCCAGCGACCACTGCTGTGACCGACCGGCCTTTCACCACAGCTCCAGGCATGGATGCAAACCACCAAGGATCCGTGCAGAAACCTTGGCGGCTGGATTCGCACTCCATGTTGCCCTTTGCGATTGGGGCTTCCTTGGGATTGCTTGCCATCCTGTCGTTCGCAGGCGGCTGGCTTCTCGGCTTCTTGCGTGACGCCCGGTCGCGTGGATTGGACGCATCTTCGGAGATGTCTGTTTATGACCTCCATCAGGACGCATGATCACCCAACACTGCTGGAATCATTGTACAGACTTGTGTACAGTCCACACACCGCAGGCCTGCACTGGTGCGTTTTAAAGCCCGGGAACCTCACTTGTAGCTGGTGCTTTGCGACCTGAGCAGAGTACGGGTACTGGTGATTAGCTACAGCTCCCGGCCAAAACAGTGGATGCGTGAGACGACAATGATGTATCCCACATATCCGAGAACCACCAGATGACAGTAGCTACGTCAGGGTACGAGCATTTTATGCCGTAGCATGTGCTGTGACCTATTATTTTCTATTCTGGACTCGAGTGAGAAGTAGAGTCAAAGATGAGAGAGCAAGCTTGCGAAAGGTAAGAAACTAGTACAGCATGCTGTGTGTATGCAGCCGCAAAACGACTGTTCCAGGATACCAAACATCAGGGAAGACCTTGACGGCTTAGTACTAGGATACTTCGGTTCTGTGCTAGGCTACTAGGGTTTGGGGTCTGGCCACGGCGGGGGGGGCTACTAGGGTTTGGGGTCTGGCCACGGCGGGGGGGGCGGGGTGGGGGTGGAAGATTCTGGGATACCAAGACCAGTTCAACGCCAGAGGTCGAGCGTTCAGGTCTTTTCCAAGACGTTCTACTCACAGGAAGACTGGTCGAGCCTCTTGTGGGGGGCAGCTTGGCTCCTCCCTGCGCCCGATTCGCTGCGTCGCCAACACTAAAAGGACAAAAAGGCGCTCTGGCGTATTCGACACGAAAGGGGGAACCTAACAAACGGGGTCATCGAGAAAAACCATCCCGAAAAAAGAAAAAACAGCAAAAAGACGAACGAACCCCTCTCTTCAGGTGCAGGTTCGGGCGCTCGGAGTTTTGCTTTTTCATCGAGGGATGTTCTCAATATTTCTCTCTGAATAGTCGGTTGGGTTGTTGCGGAAAGGTCATCAGGCTCCTTCTCAAGGCAGCCTCTTGAGTCTCTGGAGTTTAGGAGGTCTGCTAGTGATATAGAAAACCAATAGAAACCAACAGAAAACCAATAAAACCCAATAGAAAACCAATTAAAACCAACAGGAAACCTCGAAAACCAAGAAAAACCCATAAAACAAATAGAAAGCCAATAGATAAATAGAAAACCAACAGAAAACCAATAGAAAACCAATAATTCTATTGTTTTTTATTGTTTTTTAGTTGTCTTTATTGGTTTTTATTTGTTTTCTATTTTTCCTATTGGTTTTCCATTGGTTTTATTGGTTTTTCTTGGTTTTCTAGGTTCTCTATTGGTTTCAATTGGTTTTCTGT